GCTTTTTACATGGAATAGCAGAAACGCATATGGCACTGCCATCATATAGTAATATAGGTGAAGGGGGATGAAATGGACAAACCAGAACAGAGAAAACTGTTGGAATTATAACCCAGATCGCCACATTTTTCTGGCAGGGCTCCTATTTCTTAAGGGCTACATTTTTGATTCTGCAGCCCCTGACCACACATTCTTAGCGAGCTTTGTCATTTGTTTTTGTGTCCCCGTTATTCCAAATCAGTGCTTTCAGACTCCATTCTTTCAGCTCAGCAGCTACTTTTAATACAACCAATTGCCACAAGGTCAGGTACGATAAAAGTATATGGGCTAATGCCAAGACTTCTCATTTTTAGCCTCCTGGATATTGCTCCAAGAAAGCAACAGTGCCTAGATAAAGGGTCATTCAGGAGACACTGGCAGACTCAGGAAATCCTTTTGACAGATCACAAGATTGAAACTGTTGTCCTGAGATAACAGTGGCACTGTTGCTTTAGGAAGAAGTGATGTCTGAGTCAGACTCATAATGTGGGAGCCTGAATGGGACAAAATCCTAAAAGTAGTTCTCTTTAGTAGAGCAGTGAACAAGCTGTGACCCTCTCTCCAGCTAGGGTTACCAGGTGAAATAAGGAGCAAGGTTCCTGTACTTTTAATAACTCTGCAGAAGAGGAAATTTCAGGTTATAATACAAGCAATGCCTGCTGTAATTCTCTCTTCTATGCAACCATTAAAGATACAAGAGCCCTGTTCCTTTTTTCACCTGGCAACCTTATCTTCAAATGATGTTAGACAGCAGTTTTCATGATCTCTCACCATGTGCTAACCGGGCTAGGACTGATGGGAGATGCAATGACAGCTGGAGGCCCTTAGAATATGATTTGCTAATAATTGAGTGTCCACCCACATTTCCTTGCAGTTTTGGTAAAGAAGCTCAAGCTAGTTAAGCAATGTCTTCTAGAGATAGCTGCAAATATTTTAACTGGATGACGAGTTTGCCAGGAATTGTACATCAGCTTAGGTACTTTTTAGGAAAAAAGGTGACCAAGAAAAACAAAGACTCACCACCAGCGTGTAACACAGCTGTCATGATGGAGGGGAACCATGAGGTTTCACTGTTGCTTGCTCGGAAATCATACTGCAGGTCCTTGAAGAAGACCCCAACGCAGGAAGGAAAGCCCAGCGTCAAGGCTTGGACCAGCACTGTGGCTACCAAGACCACCCATGCCCAACCTCGATCCTGAACTTTGGAGATGCGAGGGGTTGCCTCTCCCTCATGGGGCATTTTTCCTTGGAGCTTCTTCTCAGTGCTTCTGATTAGAGGAAAGGAAACAAATCAAGAATCAGCCGTTGCTTCAGTATGAGAACGACAGAAAAGACACTGCTGAAAAACAGTCCATATTAGAAACAGAATTTTCTGTGCTCCTTTTCGGAAGCCTTGCCGTTCTCTTCACAGGCTCCAGAAGTCACCAGGTTCCAGAAGTGTGTCTTCTCCTCCTTTTATTTCACAAGATTATGAACGCCTCTGGTCTGAATGTTAGACACACCTCTGGGGAGGAAAGAACTAGCATTATTACTCAGCACCATCTCTCCTTGCCGGTGAGCACTCCCTTTCACCTGATTTGGTCTGCGGAGTCCCTTTGCTGCCTCTGTTTAACGTCATAAAATGTTTGTGCCAAGAGGAGGTGGCAAAGCAGGCAAATGTCAAATATAGTGAAAAAGTATATAGAGTTCTGCTGAGCATTCATCTGAGTTGCAGCATTTGACCTTGCACAAACTCCTCTCCTATTTGCCCTATTTGCTTCTGGGCACAACGAAAGGTGCCAGGCGGCTGGCTTTAAGTTTCAGAATGCCATCCACTCAGAACTGCCCTCATGCCACTGAGCACTCAGATTCATCCGTGCCACTTTTATCCATTTTTTAAAAAGGCCCTACTACTTCGAAGTTAATAACCGCAGTTACTTAAAAAGAAACGAGAACCACATCCAGCTCTCCAGATGTTCTTCGGCTGCTACTAACAGTATTCCTCATCAATTGTGGGCTAGCTAGGGCTTCTGGGACTTGCAATCTAACAATATCTAGAGGACCACATGATTCCTATCCTGGGACTAGAAAATACCATTGATATACAAAGCGCTTTTCTTCTTGTTTTTACACTCCACACAAAGCAAACACATACACACATATACAAAAAGTCCAAGAGACATCTCCCAGAAGATGCTTTTAATGTCACATGTGGAAAATGCCTTGAAGCAGTGGTTTTCAACCAAAGAGCCTGAAGAGGGACCCCAGAATCCCTCATTCTTGGCCATGGTGACTAAGGCTTCTGGGAACTGAAGCTCAGTCACATTTAGGCCTCCTGACTGAGAGCCATCACCTAAAACAGGCAATTCCTTGAACTGGGTTCCACAAAACTTTGCCAAGAGAAATGAAGAATTGGGGAGAAATTCAAAAGACACTACTGGGGAATGCTACACGATGTTATGCTGAATTGGAGACAGAGAAATGACATATGTCATATTTGTTCTGTCGATCAAGGAGAGGCATATGTATGGTCTTATATGTCCAGAGCAACAGTTCCCAAACTGTGGTCTCCAGGTGTTTGGATCTTCAATTCCCAGAATTCCCAGCCAGCTTAGCTGACATTCAGGATTCTAGGTGCTGAAGTCCAAAAAACCTGGAGGACGAAAGGTTGGGAATCATTGGTCTAGGGCAGTGGTTCCTAGGAGTTTATCACACGTGGAGCCCCATGCAAAATCGCTCTTTAAAGTGAAAAAAAACCCGCAAAA